TTAATTGCCTAATAGCCCAATGGAAATACAATGAAACTCAAACAGCGACACTATGCCAAAATTACCCTTCCTTCAAATCTCCCTTTATTCTTTTTCCAAACAGAAAATAAACTAATTTCACATTCTCTGAAAGACCAACACCAATACTAACTAGGAAAATTCTCTGGTGCTACTTTGACAGTAACTTCTTAGTTGCAAAGATATGTATACTTGTTGATTCTCAAGGGGAAAAAGATGGAAATTCAAACATTGAGCATTAATCAAGTAAAGAAAAGGTTTTCAAAAGACTGGATAAAGAGAATGAGTGGGATGTATAATCTGCTGTGTGTAAGACCGATCTGGACAATCTATCTTCAATTTAAATTGCTGTTTTAGCATCAACCTTCAATATTTTACATAATGCACACCTCTTAACATTCTTATTTCTAAATATGTTGTGTTTCCTGATTGGTTGATCTATTGCACTAAGGACTTTGAGTATTAGGAGAAGCAATTGATAATGGTGAAGACCAAGTCTGGGCTAAGAACTTGTGCAGCATCCCCTCATTTCAGCTGCAGGAAGCCGCAGAGTGATTCTTTGGCTGTTGGCGGGAGGAGGTTGTAAATAAAAATGTGAGGTAGTTCTTTCCACAAGAGGGAAATATTTGTCTACATAGCATCCCTGCAATGTTTGACAAATTACTATGGCATCTGCTCGCTGTCATCTGTAAAGTAAACTCTTAGCTTGGTATTAACTGAACTTGACAGATCATGAGCTGGTTGCAGTTCACAGGCCTGATTTTCTGATCCAGCCATGACAGGAGGCACGACAACCTCCAAAGTGTGAACTGTAGAGACTAGTAAGAACAAGAACTGCAAAAGCATGTTGGGGAGTGGGTAACAGTCCATAAGAATGAGGTACCTACGTTTGTGCATAGGAAAGAATGAAGACTGGTGAGGAGTAAATTACAGACTCTGATCCCACAGCTGATCTCTCACCCTGAAGATTAAATTAAAAAAAAAAAAAAGATCTGAAGTTTTAGTATGATAGAGAACATGGCAGGAGTTTTTATATATAAAGGAAAACTAACAGGTATATTAAAGGTGAAGGAATAGAGCATCACTAACACTTCAATCTTTCTTACCTGGAATATGTACACTTAAACTAAACTAGTATAAAAAAAAATTATTTCTGAAAATCTTTGCATTCTAAACTCCCTCCAGACTACCAGACCAAGAATAATACCAGCAAATAGATTGGGAGTTAAACTGTAGTTAGAAAAGGGGAGAAGAGTTAGGTAGGACATTAAAATTTTATTCTGAAATTATCTCTGGCCACGACAATAAAATTTAACAAATATTCACTGAACAGTCTTACTCCTGTCATCAGCTGTACAATACATACAGTATCATAGAACTGGCCACTAGGATTAAAATCCACTAGAACATATTTCATGTTAAGTGGCGACAGCAGCATCTCACAGAAATTTCTACATACATATATACACAGTCCACATTCAACCATATTCACATATTTCCAGTACACAGTTGCAGCATATGACAGTCACATGTCTAAGTTGTTGCTCGATTAAAAACCCAAGCCACTGCCTAGACATAACTGTAGCAGTTGAGCTGAGTATAATTACAATTAATTTGATATATGTCCATAGCAGAGAGATGTACAAGCCCCTAAGAAACAGAGTTCACAAATACTTTTTTTTTAAATGCTACCACAGCATTATGTTGGGCAATATTAAAACCTTTTCCAACCAAATCAGTTTTTTTTTTAAAAAGTCTTCTGCTTACCTGAAATATTCTTGATGAAAAAAATTACAAAAATGAATGCTCTCTTGAAAAGAACTCACACTTAAGATTCCAATATGGCCCAATGCTACTGATGCCTAAAGTGTTTTCTAACATTCTGATGGAGTCCTTTAACACGACTCCACACCACCCATTAAGTTTAAAAGTGGCTTAAGTGCCTTGCACCCAAATTGTAAAAATCCCTGGCCATCCTTACTAGAGCCAGGCACATATAAAAGGAATGCACTTTGGTTCAGACCAAATGCCCTGGGATTAATCACACTAGAAAATTAAATGGTTTGAGGTAAATTTTTACAAATACAGTTGATTTTTGTCTAGTGTTAGCTTAACAAAAAACAATATTATTTAAAAAATCAGTCTGATGTTAAGATACAACAAAGGCCATCTTTAACCCCTTAAACATAGGAATCCCTGTGTAACTAACCCATGGTTACCTTTTTCAGTGCCTTATGATGCTTCATGCCTTATGGATTGTATTAAGGCCTGGATGTAACTGGATAGTTAAGACAGAAGTGTCTTTGCAGAGGTGGATTCCATCCTTACTAACTCCATCCTAGGATTCAAAGAGTTAAAGAGGCCAAAAAATGCATGCCCTACAACATGGCATCCAGAACAAAAGGCACATTGTTAACACTAAGGGCACAACTCCTCCTCTACTGTTAAAGTACACTGTCTTGCATCATCTGTTGTTCCACTGTTGTAGCAATACACTTAAGTGGCAATGCACGCTCTGGTGGTGCAAGAAACGGAGCCAGATGAGACTGCAACCAGACAAGACGACACTGTGCTATTCCTAAATCTGAAAACAGCTCAGACATCCCTAGACAATGGTAACCTGTGAGACCAAGGACTGTTTCCAAGCCAACTCCTCGTAGCCTATCAGAGCCCTTCATTTGTTTATGCTTTAACATCACAAAAGATGCAACCTTATATTTTTGACATAATTAAGCGAGAAATTTAAAAGCAGCTCTATCACTAAACACTGAACGTGGCAGCTCTTATGAATAAAGGTAATTTCACTGAATCTTGGGGGAGGGGAAGCCCCATTGTGCTGCAAATCACAGTTTGGCGTAAAAGTTTCCGGTTGCATTTGTGAGTCTATCGTCACAAATGCAGTTGGCATCTCAAGATCTAGTTTTGTGTGGTGCGGGGGAAGACAGGAAGGATTAGTCCATTTATAAAAATCCACGCATGTAGTCATTTTATAGCGAATTTCCTATTAATGGCAAGTTAAGGTTCATAGATTTAAACCTAAATGTGAAAGTTGGAGTGGCTATGGGAAAGCAGCAGTGTGTATGGTGAACACAGCGCTTCTGTTGATCCGTGTGGCCTAAAGGAGCTAACTCACCATCACCCAGAGGCTCACAGTTTTCAAAGCCACCACCTGAAGTCTTCCACTTCTTATGCCTTGAAGCCAAAATCTGAACAATACATACACAACCTTTAAATGCTATAAGCCACTGATTGGGGGCATCATCACATGAGCATCACTTAAAATGCAACTTACTGACCTGTTATTGCACTTCCACAGATGACACAGAGATGTGTACAATATGCTAAAGAATTTGACTAGGGGAAAGCAGCTATAAATGCTAAATACAGAAGTACAAATTAATTTATCAGGGACACCCTTAAATAGTAAAGCAAATATTTATCAACATCACTATCTTATTAATAATCTTATACTGTTTTTTTGGCAAATATCTGTAACATTTCCTGAGCAATGTTTCTCCACCATCAACGAAAAAGCCTCAAGGTAATCAAAGTGTTTTTGTTCGAAACTACTTTTTTAAAGTAAGAGAAACTGCAGGGTTAACATTAGAAGAACTTAACCGGAAACTTTCGTGGCCTCACTGGGGACCATGCTTTAAGTACTTGTAAATCAACTTACAGGCAATACAATAATATCTGTGCATATAAAAGAGCACTTATCCTAATTTATACTACCCAAAACCTATTTCCAAACAGGCAGAAATCTTCCTATATTAAATTGCACATACTGAAAAATTTTTTCCACGTGCCTTGAAATTGATATATATCACTGCTCATACATTAGTGATAAAATACTGAAATTTTCACTGTGAAAATAATTATTATTCAGAGAAAAAAATATTTACTTAACTCTGTTACTTTTTCAGGTAAAGTGTCGTTCCCACGAAAACAATCAGTGCAATCCAAAAGAAAGCAAAGTAAAATAGAGGAATGCATTATCTGTGGTTCTAATGATGCAAAGACTAAGTCAAACCATTTAACTTGAACATTTTCCATCCGTGACATTGTTAAGATTGGCCTTAGCGAAGAGCCACAATGACTTCTGTTCAAGAGGATTTTCAACCCTGTTTCTCTGTAACGAAAGAGTTGATACTTCCCCAGGCCGAGAGAACCTGATCTTGGCACCTGAAAGTGGGAACTCATTCTGATCTGCCAACTCTTCTTCTTTGGAACTATGGTGATACCTTACCTAGCTAGGCTGCTGTTCTTTTTTAAACTGGAATATGAAACAATGGTCACAATCACAGCTGAGATGTCTCTTTTCTGTATTAACAGTCTGGGATATGCATTTGAAGGAAGAAATAAAATTAAATGCAAGAACAAATGTGTGGTGAAAGAACAGAGGAGAAAGCAATGAGAACAGTTCATGGAATTCACTTCTAAATTTAGGTACAAAAACCAATTCTGTAAGAGGCGGCTTCTGATAAACCAGCTCACCCATATTAAAAGTCTGGAGGATCACACACATTTCAATGTATCCACCAGGTCTGCTTTGCCCGCTCTCAGAATGTCAGAAATGCGTAGTGAGCACTTAAACCTTGGGGATTTTATGTTGTTTAGGAGGAAAAAAAAAAAATCCCTAAGGTGTCAGTTTCTCTTAAGATGTCATTTTCACCCAAACCATTCTCTTCCCACCATCACTACCACCCAGAAACTTATGGAAAACAGAAGCAGAACTTTCCACACCTGTGTATGAACCTGGGGCATGGAGAAAGGGGGGCCTTCGGGGGCAATCACCTTGGAGGGAATATACTATAAACCATAAAAACAAGTGAATGTCTTTGACACCAATCTGTAAATGCGTGGCAGTCATGAAGTAATCAATGGCCTGCCACTGATTTTATTACTCTGCCACACTAAATACAGTAAGGCTCATCGTACTTTTAGAACACAAAAACAGTTTCAGAAAGTATAAAAACTTAAAGCATTGTCCCCATGTATTTTATAAAAACAAAACGAAAGAAAAACTTTCTTACATTAAAATAAGTGCTGAAAAGATACAAATGAGTTGAGTTATTGAGCAAATAAAAACAGGTCTGAGCTACTCCTTTTCAACCCAGTAAGGCTCAGCAACAACGTATCTTTCGGAGGACCAGCACTGGGGGACTCAGCTCAGCTCACAAGTTTTGGCAACACTGTCCTCTGCTGAATATTCCCGTTGGCATCTGTCATCTGTGCCAAATTAGTCCTCAGTTTGGAAGCTGAGCTGGAAGGTGGAGGTAACTTGGAAATCGACGTGATAGCACCAGAGCTCTCAGTTATCCTTTTCACTGACGTCTTCTCCCCCGTCGGAGGCTTTGGCAACCGCCTCCTCAGCCAGGGATGCCGTAAAGCCTGGCCAGGGGTCATGCGAACCGCAGGATCCCATTCTAAACACTGTCTTAAGAAGTCAAGGAAAAGGGGGTCATCACACCCCTTCAGTGCATTCCCCCACTCTCTGCTCTCTGGTGGGCCCCTCAGTTTCCCCCGCCGGGAACGGCCTCCGTTGAGAACCACAGAACCGTCTGAGAGCGTCGTGACAGTGCAGTAACGGGGGTAACCCTTGGAGCTCACAAAATTTTTGGCTCGTTTTGATGCATCCAACAGTTTCTGGGAGGGCATGCCCAACAGTTCAATCATACAGGCTAGCTGGTCCCCTTCGTCTTCCCCGGGCAAGAGCGGGTAACCAGTTAGGAGCTCTGCTAAAATGCAGCCCAAGCTCCACATGTCGATGGGCATGCCGTACCTGGCGCCAAGGATCACTTCCGGGGCCCGGTAAAACCGAGACTGGATGTATGTGTAGACACGCTGATGCTCATAGCAACTGGAGCCAAAATCGATCACTTTAATACCACTTCTACCCTGCTGCTTCAATAAAATGTTCTCGGGCTTAAGGTCACAGTGAATGATTCTGTTTTTGTGCAAAGCATCCAAGCACTGCAGAATCGAGTGGGCAAACTTGCGAACCAAAGGCAGGCTGAAGCCCTGGAACTTATTCTTCTTGATGAGCTCGTACAGGTTCATGCTCAGCAGCTCGAACGTCATGCAGATGTGGTTGCGGAAGGTGAAGTTTTCCAGCATGTGGATGACATTCATGGTGTTGTCCTTGTCCTGCTTCCGCAGGTGCTCCAGGATCCGGATCTCCTCCGCTGCCTGCCGGTGGAAGCGCTTCTCGTTCCGCACCATCTTCAGGGCCACGTGCTGGTGGACTTTGTGGTCGTAGGCTTTGACCACCTGCCCGAAGCTTCCCTTCCCAATGACCTTGAGGACCTCGTACCTGTAAGCCACATGATCGTGGGGCACCTGCACGTATGATCCCTGGTCGTCGTCATAGCCACCGTTGTTGGGTCCACCGGTCATGCCCTGGCGCTTCTTTGCATTTGGACCCAAGAAGTAGATTTCAGGGTAGCTGAAAATCTCGTGGTGTTCAAAGGTGGTTAGTTTTTGCATGTATTGCTTCATTGCTTGTTCGGGCGACATGGGGGTGGCTTTGACCTTGCCCATGCCCTCCATAGACTTCAGGGAGGTGGAGCTCCCCTGCCGCCTGTGGATGCTCTCCAGCTGCCGCTCTGGCACCACCGGCAATCCCGTCTTGGCCACTGTGGTGAGCCCATTTGGTTGTGTCGTAAGCACGGTCCGTTTGTTACTGTTATCCTCAAACAGCTGCTCAACCTGGATCTGTCCGTGGCTGTGGCTGCCGACATGTAGGTGATCATTCATTGTGTGCTTACTGCTGCCAATCTGGAATGTGGAAAGGACACATGAATAGAAGGGAGATGCCCGTCGGCTCCAACGGGATATTTCATGTCAGCTCTGACCCCCACCTTTGCAAACTCCAATTTCATTTGAATCTACAATCAGAATCACGTTTAAATGACAAAAAGGGTTACGTGCCCAAGAGGGACCTCATGAGACGCCTCACAGGACGCATGGATGTGATATAACCTCTGACAATATACAGAAAACAAGCAAGTGGATTGGGTAAGGCTTATGATACTAGGGATCTGGAAAAGGAACTTCATAAAAGTCACACCTAAAGAGCATTTGCTGTACTGAGTAAAAGAACCTTAGACTAAGTTCTCTCAAAAAGCATCTTAACATTTAGCAGAGTCTGGCATAGCATAAATGATCCACTCAATCCAGACTTGATATACAAATGCAACAGAAACAGAAAAATACTGTTTTCTATACTGGCTCCCTGATAGTAATGACCTTCATGGTTCATCCAGTAGCTTCTTTAATACCTGGAGGGCACATCTGTCTTGTACAGTACTTCTCCCAACTGTCTTTCACTTATTCTGAAAACACAGGTATCTTCACTTTCAGTCTTCACTACTTGGAAATATAACTGACTATACCTAGGAAAATGTACTATCCAGCGGCAAAGAAAACTGCACTTTCAGCTTGGAAGATTCCCATGTAGATACCACTATCTTATCTTGTGACCCCCACCCCCCAACCTGTTTTTTTTTTTTTGAAATATTATGGGCCTCACTAACAGTGATGACCATTTAAGGCTATTCTGTCCAACAAAACCAGCCACCACACCCTTCCTGGCCTTAGTATGGTCAATCACTCAATTCTCTGAAGACATGCATTTATCCACTCTGCTGGGATACTCAGTTTTCCAACAAGGAATACAATGTAGCAATTTCTATTTCAAGCACATACACCCCCTCCCCCCCAATATTCCTGTCTAAACAAAATGGATGGTGTAAGTGGGCCTCCAGCTTCTCACTGAGAAGCGACTTGGAATTTCTTTCCCCCATTCTTGTTGCAAAGAGGGAAGTCTGGGGAAAGACCAGGAGCCAGGATCCCCTCATAGCTTGAGAATCCTGCCAGCCTCAAATAAGCTTCTGCTAGGTGATTTTTAGAAGAAAGCATAAAGATCAATTTGTCGCACACAATACAGCTCATTGAACCAGTAACGCAAGAGATCTAGTCACACAGAAGGGCAGAGTCCCTGCCCTCGAGAAGCTGACAATACTGAAACTTGCTATCAAGTGATATTGTTTCCACTATCTCCTAAATTCTTCTTTTTGGGTTCTATGTATGTTACTGAAGTAGTGTTCCGTATATGTAATACAATAATTCAGGAAATGGGTTAGAACCACCTATATCATAATATGAAATTCTAAAACCTTAATAGCAGATCAAGACCTTCCAATTTTCTTTAATTGACCCATAATATGCAGGATGGAGGAATCACTTTCTCTCTGCTTACTTCTAAAACAAAGAATAATTCAGTAGTGTACTGGAGTCTTTATTAAGTGGCATTTCATAAAAGGTAGAACTTTATTTCTCAGATAGATTTTTGGGAGCTTTCTAGTCAAATCTTTTTCTCCACCTCCTCCCCCGGTGGTCTTTCAAGCACCAGGGAATAAAAAGACCTGAAATTAGAAACGTATCTCTCCTGAAGACCTATTTTCCTCATTTACTTATAAGAAAGACCTACCAATATACATAATACAAAAATCATGAGACTATTAGGAACAAAATTAACACTGAGGCTTTAGGCACTGCTAAAAAGATAACAAGGGAAAACCTCCTTGACAATTAGAAACTGAGTTCAATTTTTGTAATAGCAATGTACATTATTTTGCACAATTTAAAATACAATAATCACATGAAGTTTGGTGACTAGAACAAGAGTCTGCAAATCACCTCCTATCTCTCCAACTATATTCTCTTGGTTTCCTCAGCAGTTTCAATTAATAATCACCTACCTTTAAGTGGGTCTAAGAGTTCCCCAGGGTTCAACCTTTATCTCTCTTGGATTCTCACTCCCATAACTCTCTCTGGCTGACCTTGACCACAGCCAGGCCTTCCAGCAAACCATTTGGCAGGCTGCCACCTGCCTCGTCTGTAACTCTGGCTCAGTGGTGCCTAATCCATGTCTCAATAGGGAAGACCCTCTCCTACAATGACTGATCTTTCCTTTCCAACATGTAACTCAAGCTCAATTCATGATTTTCTACCAAAACCATTTCTTCCTCTTATAACACTCAATTTGATACGCAAAAGGCTGCACCTCCAGTCACTCAAGCTGTACACCTAGAAATCCTTTGCAACATCTCCTTACATTACTGTTAAACACCATTGTTTCTACCAAGTACACCCCATTTCAATAAGTAATGTAAGTACTTCAGGCAAGAACACAAGATTCTAAACTAAGAGCCTAAATGATCTATGTGCTTCCATCTCATCTACCACTGCTTCTCTTGTCTATTAAAGTAAGCTGAGTTCCCCCACACCTATGGAAATACCACACTCTTTTAAGCTGTGAAAGTTCACGTTTCACAATGACAAGAAGGGCAGGGATTTTCAATTAGATACATGGAAAATGAATGCCAGGTCTACCCTAACTGTGTGACCTTGTGCTAAATTTACTTCAAAGTTCTTGTTCTTGTCAATATGAAGGTCACAAGCCACCTCATTACAGTTATGAGAATGATTAAATAAGGTAGCATGTATAAAGTGTTCAGTGTTATACTGAACACAATATTACTACTGTACTTTCTAAATGCTGCTTGGCATCTCTTTCCATCCCAGGCCTAGGTGATGAATTCCTACTCATTCTTCAAATATCTGGTTCCTTTCTGAAACTTTCTTATCTATTCTGCGAAACTTCCACTATTCTATAGAAACTTCCACTGTTCTATCTACTATGCTGACAGAGCACTGATAGGACATTTTATTTTACTGTTATTAACACCTGATATAACCACCTTGCTATGAGCAATTCAAGGGTTATCACTTCTTATCTTTGTAATATAAACCCAAACATACAGTAAGCCCTCAATAACTATCTGTTGCATGAAAGAATATATGAATGAATCCTTTAACTCTCACCTCTCTGAATTATTCTTGAGAACTACACTTTGTACCTTCATAAGAAAACAGAAAGTTATACCTAGGGAACTGTGAAATGTCCCTGGTGACACAAGTCACAAGATGTGAGGCACCAGCAGGGACATGCAGGCAAATGGCAACTAGTAAAGAAAAATACTGGTAGCAGATACAGCAACTAAAACACCTGAAAGTGATGTAAATCTTAAAAAATTTCCCAGATGTTAACTCAATTCCCTAGAAAAGCTCCAGTAAGGGACTTTGAGTCTCAAACAGAAATTAAAATCACAAGCAAGCTCAAAAATGTAATTAACTGGTCAATAAAGGAGAAGGAAATCCCAGAAAAGCCAAAACATTTCCAAAATACATCATAAATTTAAGGAGACCGGGAACCTTTCAGCCCCACTCAGTCTCTCTAGGTCTGAGATTGTGGTTTACTCCTAGTTACAAATGCCAAGCACGGAGCCTGTCACATTTAAAAAATTTACAATGAAGGAATCCCTTCATTAGATATGATATAAGGGTTAAAGTGGAGAGATTTACAAGAGTCTTCTCTGACCCTGAAACATTTTAGTGTCAAACATTATATGAGAATAACAATTTGGTAATTTACTCTCTTCTAATAATAAAAAGGAAAATAGTACACATTCACTGTGCTAACACTTCTGGGAGTATTAAAACTATGCTGATGTCATCTTAGAAATAGTGAATAATATTATGGGAACAGAACTGAATCAAAAAAGTTTGGAATTTTAGCTCCTCCTCAAACACACTGACAGTGGCCCTGAGTCAAACGCCTACCTACTTTTCCTTCTTCAAAATATTACATTTTAAGTGAGAATATTTACTCTCCAGTTAGTTATTTATTAAAGGTAAAACTGTAACTAGAGAGTGCTTTAAACATAAAGACAGTTACAATAAAGTAATACAATACTGACATTTGGGAGTTAACTCTATCAATAGCCATCTATTTCGCACATAACATTAAAAGAAAAACTAACCAGAACCCAGAGAATGATTAGGCAAACTTTCAAGACATGCAGAGATAAACAAAATGACTGGAGTATACAGTAACATATCCATGGAGAAAAAAGACAAAAGGACAATGAAGTAGGTAAATTCCAAACTGCATAATCTTCATAATCATATATTTACAAGGGAAAATATGAACAAATTTCTATGACAAGATCACTTTCCTCTCATTAATGTGTTGTCCCCCTACTCATTCTAAAGCTCTTCCAAGCTGTCAGTGCTGTGGCATTAAAAACTATAAGGTAAGAATATAGATCTGCAAAGCTTCTCAAATTCATAATGAAATTAGTACAGCTCCCTGGAACTGGCAGTATCAAGCAGTGTGTTAGTTAGGTGTAGGTGGGTCTGGGTTTTAGCTCCTGCCTTGAAATGAATTGGCTTAAGAATCTTACCAAACCGTTTAACTTGCTCAATTGTTTTCTCATCTGTAAAATAAAGTCATAGGAGCAGATAAAAGTGGTGCTTTTATGCTTTCCTGTCCTATGTCTGCAATGTTGTACAAACAAAATCAAAACTGAACAATAATGAAACCCCAAATTCATACTTTCCAAACCAAACCTCTAATGAATAACAGCAAACTAAAGTTCAACAAGTAAGCGAACAAGTAAATCAGAAGCCACAGAAAGACACAGCCCTCCTTGGACAAGAATCAGACCCTCACATCTCTTCACTGCTGGTCTACCAGCTATTCATCAGGATACTTTCCTTTAATTTCATTATACATGTCAATTGCAAAGAGGCTCTGATTAAGCAAAGCCCACCTTTATAAAACTGGAATCTAGACGCAGTTTCCCTTCCTGGCCACACCAAGTCATCTAATGACAGCAACACAAGAGGAAGGAGGGAAAAAACACCACCACCACCTAAATATTACAGATTCTAAATCTTTAGTATATTCCTAATCAGGCAAACAACCCAATGCTCCAAAACCAAAACTAAAGCATCACAGTGACAACGATAAATACACAGAAACAATAAGCCTGTTCAGTTTCTCTTTCACATGTGGATTAACTTCTGGGCAGTACATTCTTAGCCCATGGGTCTCGATGTACCAGGCAAAGAGAGAAGCTAAGAAGATGTGTTTCTATGAAACTGGTACACATCTGTCCAGGTCTAAGAAGAGATATTCCATTCTAGACATCCTCTCACAAATTCTCAGACAAACAAGTTCCCCTTTATACATAACACTCTGATTTGCTCCTCTTTAAGCTGGCATCTCCAACTTGATTTTCACTTGGCAAATAAAGCCAGATCACTAGCAAGCATACTTCAGGCAGAGCCAACTTAAGGGGCTCTACTGCAAGATCCAAAGAGAAAGAAGACCTGGACAGCATCACCTCCTCCAAGTGCACACACCTCTTCTAGGCTGGCAGTCACCATCCAAAGGCCACCTCTGGAGGCTGAGAAAAGGTACACGCTGAAGTCAAATCCAGCTTGCCAATCTCTACAGCCATCAGCCCCATGCTGGGCTCCGTTCCCTGACAGCCCCTGCTGAGGGACCACTGCACCTATCAGGTACCTTCCCCTTCCCACTTTCAAAGCAAAGGCTCTTTCCTTCTGAGTAACATGCAACTGCAGATTCCTACAGGGGTGGCTTGTTTTGATGGCTGCTGTGGTTCTTATTTTTGTTAATGGTAATTACAATTTCTGCTGTGTTCAAACCTGTAGCACTCATAAAACATGCTTCCACACGCAGGGGACAATTGGCGGTGCTCCCTGCTGGCTGGAGCCAGGCTGGGAAGCTCTTTGGGTGATCGATTTTCCGGGCAGGACGGTCTGGCTGTCCCCTCACACATCTGTTTCTATAAATATCCACTACCCAACGTGGTGCTATGGGGAAGTGGGGGAGGACTAGAGAGGGGGAGGGGGGCATGTTTACCCAGGCATGGAAAGGTCCTCTGGTTAGCAAGGACCAGAAAAGAGGGAAGAGAGAAAGAAAGAGGCGAGGAGGAAGTTCAGAGGAAGAGTAGTACAGGTATGGGCTAGAGACACGAGTCTTCCTTTGTGGCTTCGGCTTGGACTTCCCCAAGTTACCGAGGGCGGCGTTTTGGAGAGGCCACTGGCCAGGATCGTGAACCCATTCGCACTTCGACCTCTCTTCTCCCGCCGTCAGAACCCCGCAAGTGTGGAGTGTTTATGCCCCTGGTTCTCCCCCACCCTTACCCCCGGGCGCCCGCGGGCTGGGTCTCACCGTGAGAGCTGCGGCAGCAGCGTTGCTGGCCCGGAGAGGCGGCAGGGCGATGGGGGAGGGCGGCCCGGTCCCCACTCCGCTCCGGGGGGGCCCCGCACGGAGCCCCGGGGAAGCCTGAAGCTGACGAACGGCGCTGTCCCCTCCTCGGCCTGGGAGGCACGCGCGGGAGGAGACAAAAGAGGGTCAGGGGGGAGAAAGTCACCCGGCCCCGTCGCCCCGCCCCGCCCCACCCCTCTGGGCATCGAACCCCGCTCTTCCTGGGGGAGACACCCGGGCAGTGAAAACGCGGGACGCAGATCCTCTGGGGAGGGAACGGGCGCCCGGGAATCCCCAGCGCACATCCCCCATTGGGGCTCCGGAAGCTGCAAAGTTAAGTCGGGCCCCGGCTCGCGAGTTCGCGACCCCACTCGGGAGCCGCCTGGCCCGGGGCTCGGCGGTCGGTCCACGTAGCAGGCGGCCGCAGGCCTGGAAGGGGCCGGGACAGCAGGCGACCGCGCAAAGGTCTCGCCACGTCCCCGGCGGGGAGCGGCCGGGCGGAGGGAGTCCGCTCGGCGGCGCCTCCCGGCCGCGTGCAACAATGAGCGGAGCCGCGGCGAGGGCGTGCCGTCCGCCCGGGGCTCCCCTCGCCGCCGCGCCGACTTTGTTCGAGCTCCCGCGGGCGGCGAGCGGCCGCGCCACGAGGGCTGGCCGCCGGGCCGAGCGGGGGACCCGCGGCGGGCGCCGGGGGCGGCGCGGGGGCCCTCCTTACCGGTCGGGTAGGCGGCGGGAGCGGCGGCCGAAGGTTTCCTGGTTAACATGGCCGCTGGAGGAGAAAATGCATCTCAGGGCTGCCGTCTCCGCCGCCGCCGCCGCCGCCCGTCCTGCTGCTACTTCTGGCGGCCGCCGCCGCCGCCACCTCCTGGTCGCCCCTCTCGCGGGTCTCCGGCGCCTCCTCGCCGCCTCGCGTCAGCTAGGGCCAGACACACACCGTCCGCTGCATCCCCTCGGCCCGGGCCCGCCGCCGCGAGCCCCCCGCTCTCCTCGCCACCGCCGCCGTCCTCCTCTTCCTCGGGCGGCTGCCACAGCCCCCGGCCCGTGCACATGCCTCGCCCTCCCCTGCGAGCCGTAGCGTCCCCGATTCCCTCACATAGGGCGCGGGGGAGCGGGCTGCGCCGCCAAGACCGACTCGCTCCGGAGCCTCCTCCCCGGGCTCGCGCGCGCGCCCCCGCGGACTC